TTCTTGACCCCAAACTTTGGCAAATGTTTCCTATAGTTTTCTCCAGTTTTCCCCAAAGTTTCAGCCAGATTGGAACACTCTCCGAGTTTTCGCGGAGTTTTTTTTTCCATTTTTGCCGACTCCCTGAATAACCCCATAAAAGATTTCTCAAAAAAAGGGAGAAAAATGATTTATTTTTATTAAAAATTGATATGAAATAAAGAAACCAAATGTAGACCCGCTTCGAAACTATTACTAAATGAATGTAGATTGAGGTGTCCCGTGATGTTTCCTCCGTGTCGTCTTGTCACTCAAAAACACACCGTCTTCTGAATCTGTACTATCGGAATCGGAATTCAGGAGTGCTTTATTTTCTCGATATTTCATTCTCTGTTGTTTTCGACGTTCTTTTCTAAGAACTGGCGCAATGCATAATGTAGTGCATGCCATCTGAAATGAAAACTTGTACATTTCAAGAAGTTCAATATAACTTACCATGGCCATAAATCCATAGAAAACTGCATTCCATCCATACCAATGTTGAATATTTGGAATCATAAACTGTCCCACTGCAGATCCACAACTTCCAGTACCATCGATTATACCGGTTACTGTAGCCAGTGCTTCTGAGTTCCCTTTCAACTTGTCGCTTTTTCCCAAATCTGCTACAACAGAACTCGAAATCATGTTCAATGGACCCCCAACGAAAAATCCAGCTAGTAGAAGAAGGAAAGCGTTCCACGTGTATGAAGCAGGCGAACCTGAAACACCAAATTTTGAAAAAGCAAACTTCGAAGATGGAACCTTACGAGAATAAACATAAAGTGATACAAACGATGCGAGAAGCATGTAGAAAATCAAAGAAGTCCTAGATTTCATTCTATCCGAAGCTGCTCCAGCAACTATTGAGGCGATGATCCCACCGACATCGTACCACGTGGATAGGGCGTCAGCAAAGGTTTCCGGCCAGTTCAGCCCGCTGAAAGACTGCAATATAGAGGGTTCTTCAATTATCGGGATACTAACTCATGTAAGTAGTACGGTAGCCAGAAGAAAAATCCATCGTTGACAAACTTTAAACAAGCGAAAGCAAGAGAAAACTAAGGTGGGTGAAATTAGATTGTAAAAATTACTATTCTAGAAATACCGAAATAACTCCAGGGATCAGCCAAGTGCGGAAAAATCCCAATGGAGGAGGTCGATTGAGTTCCAGTTTCTCTTTTGAATCTGATTCATGATGAGACCCAGAATCCAGATCCCATGGTGCTGATGGTAATTGAAAGTATGCAATGATACTGTAACTGAACAATAGAGAGCAGATTATGAGGAAGGGATACTGTAAATTTCAAATTTAATTTTGTTTTATTATCCAAAAAATAATATCTTACCTGATACCCAAATACCAATACATGACTTGCTATCAAAGTTCCAATAATATTTCCAACACTTCCACATGCTGACCATACACCCATCACTGTTCCTCTCGCATTCTTTCCAAACCAATTTCCCATTATTGCCACTTCAATTGGCCATCCGACAGATTGAGAGAATCCATTTAGAACCCAAAGAAACACATATAATGGAGCAGAGTAGATGTGATAAGTTTCTGTCAGAAATCCAAAGCAAAAAACCGAAAACGCAGAACAGGCCATTCCAATGCTCAGCATCTTCCTCGGATTGAAATGATCTCCTAGTGTTCCACTGATGAATAATCCCTGAAATGTTTGAATTGAAAAAGACCTTTCCAATGAATCAAAAAGTCCACCATTGCATAAGTTATCATAAAACTAGTATCCAAAAGTCCCAAAAACCTCGTAGCGTGTTCTTCAGACTCCATGAATGGTGGCCCGGTAGAATTCGATGTCCAGGTATGGATGATTGAGGGTTTAACTGTGGCAAGCGTTTTCCGAGTGGCATGAATCATGGCAAAACTGAAAAATTTATTGTTCTTCTTCAAATAAAACTTGTAATAGAAGGGCCCTTATTTTCTCTAATAGGAGCCCACTCAAACCGACGATTTGAGCTTAATTAACTCAGTTTCTAGGAGAGATATCTAAAAATTGTCAACTGATGAAATTTTGGTGATTATATTCTGAGTAATTTTTATTTGACAAGTTTTTGATATCTTTTGCAGTTATCGAGATAATAGAGCTCAAACTGCACAGTTGCGGTAGGCTTCTATAAAAAAACGGGGACTTTGACCCATTTTTTCTCAGTTCCTCAGAAAGATGCATATCAAGAAGTAGTTAACTAATAAATTGTTTATCATAAAATAATAAATATTTCATTAGTTGACACAATATTGATATCTCTCATATTAACCGGAATAACAAACTCATCATGGTGGGACCCTTCTACTACAGGTTTTACGGTAGTGGTTTTTAACAAAATAACAAAAAATCAACTCCGATTTTTTTTTGACATTTCAAAAGCAAATGCTCACCTGAAGAAGGTATGGAAAAACACAAAATAATGGTTTCTGGACCATTTTTGACCGGTTACTCTTGTCAGGAAATCTTTATTTTCAGTGCCACGTGGTCCTATTCGAGGAGGCATGCACCTGAATTAACTGTTCCTCTACTACTCAAAGAATTAAACAAAAGGGCAAAATAAAGTGGAAAAGTGTGTCAATTGGGCAGGAAAAGGGAGGATTTTCGGATCCAAGTAAAATCTGCTTCGTTTTCTTTTTTCTCCGTGAAAGAGACGCAGATTGTCAAAGAAGAAAAACTATGCTGAAGGAAAAGAGAGGAAAAGGAAGTGGAGGAAAACAAAGAAAAAGAAATTTCACACAAGCTTTATTTTTTCTCATTAATTTTATTAGATAAGAAAAAGAAAACAAGAAAAAGTTAACTCATTTCCATTCTGTTCACTGGATCATCGGTTTTTTGAGAGACCTGAAAATAATGAAGTATTATTCAACATTCGAAAAAGCATTTTCTTTCTATTTGTTCAGAGTTTTGAAGTCACAAGCCTCCTCACCTTTTGATGTTTGTTTTCTTTCCGCTCTCTCCATAGAACCGGGGAAATACATAAAGCAGACAATACGACCTGGAACAATGGATTTTTTTAAATATTTGAAATTTAAAAGTTTCCCTACCATAATCATGAACCCGTAAAAAATGGCATCCCATCCAAACCAATTTCTGACAAGTGGAATCAACCACTGCCCAATTGCAGATCCCACACTTCCGGTACCATCAATGATACCGGTTACTGTAGCCAATGCCTCAGCGTTTCCACGTAGTACTTCAGATTTCCCGAGGTCTGATGTGATGCATCCAGCAATCATGTTCAATGGACCACCAATAAAAAATCCGACGACGAGAAGAAGGAAGGCGTTCCAGTAGTAGGACTCTGGGGAGTCTGAAATTTAATATGATTTAATAATAATGTTTTTGGAGAGTCTTAAACTTGAGGTTCAATTTACAATAATTTTCGAGTTGCCTTATTTCTTTTGAGCTTAATTGTTTCAATTTCTGTAAAAGTTATCAAAAAGTTGTCAACTAATCATTTATTTATCATCATATCACCAATATTTTATCAGTCAAAAACATTTTGATATATTTCACAAGAACCGAGATAATTGAGCTCAAAGTTGACTATTGGGGTGGGCGAACAACGTTTTTAGAAAGAAAACTCACGAGCATACGCCAAAAGTGTTCCTGTAGACAAGAGAAGCATTGTGAAGACAATAGCTGTTCTAGACTTCATCCGATCCTAAAATCAATATTTGAATATTGAAACAACTCATCCACCCACAGAAAGTGCTCCTGCAATTATAGAAGATAATATTCCTCCAACATCGTACCACGCTGCAAGTCCATCGGCTGTGGATTCTGGCCAGTGAAGACCACTGAAATAATTTTACTCTCAAGATTAACCCTTGAAACTTTGTACTTGTGAAGATAGAATGGGAGCCAGAAGAAGAATCCGTCATTCACCAGTTTCAGGCAAAGGTAGGATATGGCAAACTGAAAAAAGAAAATTGTTTTTTTCTAGATTAAATAAGTTGTTTCGACCACTTACAGCAATAACTCCAGGAAGCAACCAAGCTCTGAAGAATCCTAATGGGGGTGGTCTCTCACTATCATTTCGTTTCATTTGTTCTTTTCCCTCTTCCCTAACTTCCTTTTCAACTTCCCAAGGAGCTGATGGTAAATGAAAGAAAATGAGAATACTGTAGAAGAATAATCCAGAACAAATGATAAGGAACGGCCATTGGTATCCGATATTTACAGTCCAGCTGGCTATTAAAGTTGCCAGAATGTTTCCAACACTTGCATTTGTAGACCATGTTCCAATTACTGTACCTCGTGCTGTTTTACCAAACCAACTTCCCATAATACACACTACCAAAGGCCATCCAACAGATTGAAAAAATCCATTGGAAATCCAAAGAATCGCATAAAGAGGAGCAGAATAGATATGGAATGTCTCGGTTACAAAACCAAATGTGAATACGGAAATTGCTGATAGGGCCATTCCCAGAGCCAAAATTCGTCGTGGATTATAATGGTCTCCAAGGTAACCACAAATATAGAGGCCCTAAAAATAATTAAAAAATAAAAATTTGCCTTCAAAATAGACTATTACAATAGCATAAGTGATCATGAAGCCAGTATCCAGAGCCCCGAGGAATTCAGCAGCTGACTGTTTGGATTCAAAAAGAGGTGCTCCATTTGGATTGGAGGCGTTGGAAGTCCAGACATTAATCAGAGAAGGTTTGACTGTGGAAAGAGTTTTACGAGCGGCGTGGAATAGGACGTAGCTGAAACATCGAAAGGAATAAGGTACCGAAATACCCGTATTAGAGGGACCCCCCACACTGTCAGGATTGAGCTAATTAATCTCGGTTTCAGTGAAAGATATAAAAAATGTGTCAACTGAAAACATTTTTTGGTATTATAATAAACATTTTGTTAGTTGACCACTTTTTGATACCGAGTGTTTACAGTGAACAGATTTAAGTTGAAGGAAAAGTGATCTGAAATATGGTTGAAAACTGAAAAAAACGAAATCGAAAAATGTTTTCGACGTTGAAAAAACACTAATAATGAAGAAAACAGTAACTTCGAAATTAATCATTCGGGAATTAAGATACCATAAAGCCTGTAATAGAACGGCAAAGTTGTCAACTGATAAATTGTTTATTATAATATTAAAAGTGTTTTGTCAGTTGACTCACATTTGATAGGAATCGGGATGATTCAGCTAAACCTTGGCAGTGTGGGGAGCCCTTCTATTACAGGTTATACGGTGTTCAGAATTTTGAAACCTTGTAAGGTAAGTTTCAAAGCTTTTTAATTTTAAAGCTCAGAAAAATTATTTCAAATCCAAATCTCGACGTTTATCAGGAATTTCTAATTTTCTATATTCTAAGTTTTCGAGATTTTTAACTTCCGAGTTATCGAAATTCTGAATGTCTGAAATTCCAGAACTGAAATTTTCAATTTCAGAATTTTGGTATATTAAAAATTTATAATAATCTGAATTTGTAAGAAATTCATAAATTCGATATATCTCATTTCTTGTAAAAGATATCAGAAATTTGTCAACTGATAAAATGTTTATGACAATATGATAAAAAAAATCATCAAGTTGAAATTTTTTGATATCTTTTACAGGAATCGAGATAATTGAGCTCAAAGTTGACGGTTTGGGTGGGCTTCTATTAGAAGAAATACATACTTTAGTCTCAATTTTAATAGATTTTCTGTTTCCTATATTTGAAATTTTGAATTTTCAAATATACTATTTTTAAAATTTCAAATGTCTCACATTCCAAACTTCCGAATTTCTGATCTACCGATTTTTCACGAAAATTAAGAATCTCTGAAATTCGGAAATTCGATTTGAGTTTAAAGATAGAAAAGCACTACTACTTGAGAATTCGTAAGAATTTAAATTGAAACTATACAAACACCCTTTTACAAAAATTATGAATCCTCCTACATTCAAATACATAAAGTTCATATAAGGAATTATCTGTGATAATCTATCACAAAGAATTGTGGTTTATATCGTTGACAAGATCAGCCGATGATTTGATTACTCAGAGAACACTTTTAAAAACTTTCAAAATAGATCTCCAAAGTTTAAACAAAAACAACAATTGAAAACTCACATGATGAAAGTGTGAATGAACACCCGAACATGGTATCTCGTCCATTTTTGTCCAGTAATCCGTGTCACAAAACTTTGCTTCCTCGTCGGTATCTCATCAGTCATTTCCTCCTTACATATGTGTTACAACAACTTCAAAGAATTATTTAGTTGAGAAATGATATCGAGAATTCGAATTGAGAAGAACCGGTCTGTTTTATCAAAGAGAAGAATAGAAGAAGACGTCGAGAGTAGGAAGTGGAGAATATGGGCCGATTTTTTTAAAGAGGAGGAAAATTAAGGTTTTGTACCTATTTCGACGAATACAAAATGTGACATTTTTCTATAAATATGTTGATTATAATTTCTCAGAAACATACCTGATGTGTGAAAAAAGAAAAAAATAGACCATTGTTATGGTCGTCTCAAATCAAAAGAAATTCTGACAATGTTTACTGAAAAGAAAAAACCAACACATACAAAAAACAGTACAATGTTCGATTTGTTTAGATTTTGTGTCTCCTGAATCCATTTTTTATATGCTCATTCATCCAAAACATTTTTAATTGGCCAATCGATTTATTATTTCAATTTTTACATCCATATTATTTCACACAGTGTACACATAAAACAGTCCATTCCATGAATGAACAATATAAATGTATATTTCTCCCGTTCAACGAATACAATTTGCTTTATACATTAGAATTAGTTGGTCTCCGTCTCACTTCCTGAATATCGTCTGATGCGTTTTCATCTGAATCACTATTCAGAAGAGCGTCTACCTCTTCGGAACGATGATGACGACGATCTTTGTGTTCCTTGTAAAGGACTGGGCACAGACAAAGGGCGGTGCATAGGATCTGGAAATTGATTTTTAGAAAATATTGATTTCTGGAATGATCCCCTTACCATAACAATAAACCCATAAAACACTGCATCCCATCCGAACCAATGTTGCACAGATGGAATGAACCATTGCCCAAGAGCGGCTCCAACACTTCCAGTACCATCAATTATACCGGTTACTGTAGATAATGCTTCAGCATTTCCACGTAGTTGTTCACATTTTCCGAGATCAGCAGTTATCGAACTAGAGATCATATTGGCTGGACCGCCAATGAAAAAACCAGCGACAAGAAGGAGGAATGCATTCCAGTTATAAGATTCAGGGGAATCTGAAAATTGTCTTTGATAACCCCAGGTTAATGAACAAAATCACTTGTTAAAGAAATCATATCACCACTCACGTGCATAGATGTAAAGTGACACAGTTGCCATCAACAACATAATGAATACCACGGGTGTCCGAGATCTCATATGATCCGAGAATGCTCCAGCCAACAGAGCTGCCAGAATACCTCCAACATCATACCACGTGGATAGAGAATCTGCGTAGGATTCTGGCCAATGGAGACCGGCGTGAAGATAGAATGGAAGCCAGAAGAAGAATCCGTAGTTGACGAGTTTCAGGCAAGCATATGCCAAAGAATACTAAAAAAGTTAGAATTTGATAAATTGATAACACTCAAAAGCGGCAACTTCTGGTCGGTGATTGTACAGATTCCGGATAAGACCGCTACTAAAGCCTGTCAAACTCCGATAAAAATCTGACCAAGACTCGCTTGTCAGCCGTTTTGATAGCCTGACCAATACCCATCCAAAAGCCGAACCCTCTAAACTTCCGAAAAGAAGTTACAAACCGACAGCCCAAAGTAGAAAACTCACTGCAATGACTCCAGGCAACAACCAAGCCTTCAAGAATCCGATAGGTGGTGGTCTTTCTGTTGGTTCATCCGGATCTTCTTCTTGTTCTTCCTCCATTTGGCCCGGAAGATTCTCACTACTCACTTCCCATGGAGCGGATGGAAGTTGGAAGAATACAAGGAAACTGTAGATGAAGAGAAGAGAGCAAGCAATCAGAAATGAGTACTGATATCCCAGAAACAGTGTATAGCTGGCTATCAGCGTCCCAATGATATTTCCAACACTGGCACATGATGACCATGCTCCCATAACTGCTCCACGAGCATTGTGTCCAAACCAATTTCCCATGATTGATACCTCAACAGGCCATCCGACGGATTGAATGAATCCGTTGAGAATCCATAGGAAGGAGTAGATCAATGGAGAATACACGTGGAATGTTTCCGTCAGATACCCAAAACAGAGAACACAGATTGAAGAAGCCATCATTCCAAAAGCTAGAAGACGTCGGGGATTGTAGTTGTCTCCGAGAATTCCGCATATGTATAGCCCCTAGAATCCAAAAATATTTTTGAGCTCATTGGAAGAAGAATTGGGAGAAAGACTTACAATAGCATAAGCAATCAGAAATCCAGTATCTAGAATTCCTAGGAATTCAGCTGCGGCCTGCTGAGTTGGGAAGATGGGACCAGTTGGGGTCGAAGTGTTGGAAGTCCATGTATGGATGAGAGAAGGTTTGACAGTTGACAGAGTTTTTCGGGTGGCATGAAGCATCGCATAACTAAAAGGAAAACTAAAATCTACATCTTGAATTATGAAATTCACCTCATAAAAGTGTGGGCAAAGACGAAATAGTGGTACTTGCTCCATTTTTGCCCGGTGATCCTTGCCCAAAAACTGTCCGGGCTTACATCGTTACGAAATCGAATTCTCGGCATATATGAATACCCCTGTAATTTGCAGATAAAATTGTTTGGGTCTCTTGAACCAGGTTAATAGGAAATGTGTGTTGAAGTTCAAGCCTAATTTCTAGACAGGTCAGAAGAAGAAAAAGAGGAACATGAACTCAAAAAAGAACATGGAAACATGAGAAGGGAACTGCTGGGTGAAATGAGGAAAATATCATATGGAAATGTGAATATGTTTATAGAAATGGAGAGAACAGAGAAGCAAAGCTCTCTCTTCCTCATCTGGTCTCTCTGGTCGTCGTTTTTATGTATACAAACAATAACAAAAAGCAATCAAAACACACAGTATATGACTAATTGCGTTTGAATACTCACTCCAAGGCCGTTTTATACAATCTGAAGTCATTGGAATATCGATTCTACAACATCTGTCCGGATTACTGTCACAATACATAAAGCTTCTAATTTTCGAAATTCCAGTTGAATAAATAAAAAGGTCCGAATTTCTAGCAAATCTATGACAAATACTTAATTAAAATTAGTCTAAATAGAGTACTTTGCTTCTTTTCCATTAAGAAAAAGAAGAACCTTTTCATACACCTTCCAATCATCGAGTTTTCTGGTTAGATCAAACTTTCAAACCTAGTAATCATTGAAAGAAAATTCAACTGATAAACGGAAAAACGTGCTGATAACTGCAGACATCTTCCATGTTCTTCTTCTGCTTTTTTCTTATTCATTTAACCCCCATTCGACCACCTCGTGAGGCCGCAAAACGAGGCTCGCTGCAATTGTGGACCACCGCACAAAAATTTTTTCTCTTTTTTTTGTTGAAATCCTGTTTCGAAATTCAATTTTAACCCTTGAATCGATGTTTTTCTTTTCAAAACTTTCAAATATATTTAAATAAATATTCAGGGTACACAAAATGCCGGCTGAACTAAACGCTGAACAGAGGAAGGCTCTCGAAGATGAGATCAAAGTGATGGGAGATGAGATCCGCAAACTGAAGACCGAGAAAGCCGATCCGGCTGTTGTAAGTTTTCAAAATAGTTGGAAATATCATTGTCTCTTATGTGAAGTATTTCGTAGAAACTATTTCAAGTCAGATTGTTGAGTTTTAGCTCCGATTGATTTCTTTCAAAACCTCATTTTATCGACTATTTCTTTTGAAAAAAAATAAAAATTGAAACCTTATTTTCTGTTCTTTCACTTCCAAGCGTATGTAATCCGCGGTATTTTTCTTGTTTCTAAGCCAAATGTCTCTCTGAGCCAATGATTATTAGATGTTCCGAACATTGGCGAGTAAACTGGCGTTTTCTATCCGGTTATCGGAAGAGACAGTAGTGAAACCGCGGATTGCATACGCTCAAAGAAGTGGAAGAAGGGTGAGATTTTAGTGTTCGTTTTCAACTGGTAAAAAATTAATATTTGTGTTTAGATCAAGGAGCGGGTCAACAAGATGCTCGAAAAGAAGAAGGAGCTTGGTGGTGGCGAAGAGAAGCCTGGAAAATTCGTTCTGAAAACCGGAAAAGGAACTCGGGACTACGGACCGGCTCAATCGGCTCTCCGTAACTCTGTTCTTCAAAATGTGGTCGAAACGTTCAACAAATATGGAGCAGAAACTATTGATACTCCTGTCTTCGAGCTTCGTGATGTGTTAATGGGAAAGTATGGAGAAGAAGGAGGAAAACTCGTCTATGATCTCCAAGACCAAGGAGGAGAGCTTCTCTCGCTTCGTTATGATCTCACTGTCCCTTTTGCTCGATACTTGGCAATGAACAAAATCACTAATATTACGAGATACCAGATCGCAAAAGTGTACAGACGAGATCAACCTGTGATGTCTCGTGGACGGTATCGCGAGTTCTATCAATGCGATTTCGATATTGCTGGACAGTACGATTTGATGCTTCCGGAAGCTGAATGCCTAGGTATTGTGAACGAGCTGCTCACCAAGCTCGAAATCGGAGAGTTCTTCATCAACGTAATAGTGACTTCAACTTAACGATGACTAATAAAATTAATTTCAGCTCAATCACCGATTGATCCTCGAAGGAATGTTCGCTGTCTCTGGAATTTCGCCAAAAGATTTCAAGACAATTTGCTCGTCAGTAGACAAACTAGACAAAACTCCATGGGCGGAGGTTGAGGAAGAGATGATTAAGGAGAAATTCTTAACGAAAGAGCAAACTTCAAAACTCGGAGAGTTGGTTAGATTCAGAGAGCTGAACAGTAATCTCAACAACTTGGAATTGCTCGAAAAGATGTCGGCTCTTCCTGAACTCGGACAGAATGAGAAGTTTAAGAAGGGAGCAGAAGAGTTGAAGGTTCTCATTGGATACCTTGAAGTTGATGGCGTGACGACAGTAAGATATGAACCATCGCTGGCAAGAGGACTGGATTATTACACCGGAGCTATCTATGAAGCGGTTGCACCAAGTGAGTTCAAATGTGTGAAATATCGTTACTGAGGAATTAATTCTTTAGAAGCATTGGAAGGAACCGCTGCCGAAAAAGCCGAGGATACCGCTGGACAGCCGGTCGGTGTAGGATCAGTGGCTGCTGGAGGACGGTACGATGGACTTGTCAATATGTTCGATTCAAAACTCAAAGTTCCGTGCTGTGGAGTTTCGTTTGGAATTGAGCGCCTTTTTGCTATCATGGAAGCTCGTCAGAAGTCAGCCGTTCGAACAACCCAAACGGAAGTTTACGTGGCTTCCGCACAAAAGAACATGGTCATTGAACGAAAGAAGTTGTTAAGAACTCTTCGTGCCGCAGGCATTAAGAGTGAAATGCCATTGAAGGCGAATCCAAAGTTGTTGACACAATTCCAATATGCCGAGGAGCGACGTATCCCATTGGTGGTGCTTATTGGAGAACGAGAACTCCAAGAGGGAATCGTCAAGTTGCGAAATGTTGTGAGCAGAGAAGAAAAGGCATGTTTTTTTTTTGAAAGAATCAATAAGTTTGTTCTTTTTCAGGACGTTCCGCTCGACTCATTGGTCTCAACCATTAGAGATAATCTCGCTGCTCTCTAGGCAATTAATCAATAATCTGTTGTTTTCTTTTTTTTTCTTTCTATTATTTATTATTCCTTTGTTCACCTTACTATCCAGCTTTTCTTCTCTTTTTCAGGTCATCTTTCGATTTATTTCTGCATAGTCGGTGTGAAACTTTGTTTTGTTTGTTTTCTTCTATTATCACAGTTTTTATTGCCTCAGTTTTTTGAAATTCCAATGAATAATTGTTTCCAGGTGCCATAATTTCTATAATTATAAATAAGGTTGTGAAGCCCTTTTGTTTTATTTAAATTTGGTAGAAAATGGATTTTCAGATTGAAAAAAGAAATATCTTTACAGCTTTTCATCATGTCGATGTCAAAATCTTCGTACTCGCAATACAACCGGAAAAACTGGGAGGATTCTGATTTTCCGATTCTCTGTGAGACATGCCTTGGTAACAATCCATACATGAGAATGGTAAGAAATCAATATTCGAGTTTCAACAACAAAAAATCATACCCAGATGAAAGACAAGCACGGAAGAGAGTGCAAAATCTGCGAACGCCCATTCACCACATTCAGATGGCAACCAGGAAAGGGAGCCAGATACAAGAATACAGAGCTGTGTCAGACTTGTGCTAAAGTGAAGAACGTCTGCCAGACATGCATGTTCGATTTGGAATACGGACTGCCTGTTCAAGTTCGTGATCACGAATTGCAAATCGCCGACAATATTCCGAAGCAGGGAGCGAATCGTGATTTTTTCTTGCAGAATGTTGAGAGGTTGGTTGATTTAAAAATCATCCGATAACTTAAGAAATTCCAGAACTCTCGGCCAAGGTGATGGAACTCAACCTATCGCCCAAATCGCCAACAACATGGATCAAGCTGCTCATGATCGTCTCCGTAGAATGGCTCGTTCTCAGCCCTACTACAAGCGCAATGCTCCACACATTTGCTCATTCTTCGTTAAAGGAGAATGCAAAAGAGGAGAAGAATGTCCATATCGCCACGAGAAGCCAACCGATCCGGATGATCCGTTGTCTCGTCAGAACATCCGTGATCGTTACTACGGAACCAACGACCCGGTTGCCGAGAAAATTCTGAATCGTGCCGCTGCTGCACCGACTCTTTCGCCACCAGCAGACACCACAATCACCACATTGTATATTGGAAATCTGGGACCAAACGGACCACAACAAGTCACTGAGAAGGATCTCAACGACTTCTTCTATCAGTACGGAGATATTCGCTGTCTTCGTGTTCTCACTGAAAAGGGATGTGCTTTCATCGAGTTCACAACTCGCGAGGCGGCCGAGAGAGCAGCTGAAAGATCATTCAACAAAACGTTTATCAAGGGAAGACGATTAACAATCAGATGGGGAGAACCACAGGCGAAGAGAGCTGCCGACAATTCGAACTACGTTACTCCAGTACCATCCGTACCGATTTGTAAGTTTTTTTAACCAAGAACTTTGATTTCAACATTTAAAGTATCAAAACTTTCTCTTTTTCTCAAGGTTAAGGAAGGTCTTCAAAGATTATTTTTCCTACATTTGATAGAACCAAAAAAATAATGTTTCCGGTTTCATTGTTAGATGGCAGGTGTCAGGTTTCAAAAGCCGATTGTCCATTCTCCAACCTAAACAATAATTTATATTCCACATTCTTTCCAATTTTTCCTTTCTCTAACCCCATCCCTCATTTTCAGTGCCAATTCCTGACGGTCTCGCTCCTTCGACGTCATCCCAACAGAGATTCACTGGATCCATTCCACGTCCACCGGTTCCACCAACATTCTCGGCTCCAACTCGTCTCGTCGTCCCGAATGTTCGCCCGATGAAAGCTGGAGAGCCCAGCTCATCCTCCTCATCGATCTACTATCCAAGTCAAGATCCAACTCGTCTTGGAGCCAAAGGTGACGTCATCGAATGAATGTTTCGTCGGAATTCTGGCTCGCTGTTTTAATTTCTATCTAAACACTCTTCTCCTCTGTCCTTAAAATATTCTTGTAGATTGCTCTACAAATCTTCCTAAATATTGTTAGTGGTCTCATCATCAACAAAATCCCTATTTTTATTCTTTCAAAATGTTCATTTACACACAATACAATAAACTTTTCCTCCCCTCGATGATTTCACTTCTTTATCATTGTTTGTACTTCACTCGAACTGGTCATATCCGATGTTTTCTATTTCCTTGAAGTTTCGATTCTCTTAACCGATTTTTCGATAACTTTTCCAGATGGCCTTACTCAATATACAAGCAGTCTCGGCCCAAATGGACGCAAATTTCAACGCGAAAATTTTGAATTTTCGAATGGTCGAGGAGGGAAAGTATACGGTAAGAAACACTTGAATGTGGTCCCACAGCGACAACTACAGTAACCTGAAAATACCTTTGTTTTCCGGGTTTATTATCTCGTTTTTCGTGCGTTTCAGTCATTTTTTTCACTAACAAGGAGAAAATGAACACTGTAAATAAAAAGTTTTTAGGTTACTGTAGTTGTCGTTGTGGGACTTCTCTTTCACAGCTCCGAGTTTTTTGTACCTGAATAATAAAATTGTTGTCTTATCTGATTAGAAATATATTTTTTCTATTTGTACCATTTCCAGGTCTACCGTATCCAGATAACAGTGGACACATATACGTGGACCGTTGAACGACGCTACAGCGACTTTGATGCTTACGACATTCAACGGTTCACAGATCGAAAGAAATCGTTTCTACCACCGAAAAAGCGACTAGGAAACAAAGACCTAGAATTCATTGAAGAGCGACGAATCGAGTTGGAGAAGTATGTGCGGGCACTTTTGGAGCTAGAAGTTTGGTATCAGAAGCAGAAGAATGTACATTCATTGCCATTGATTTCGGCAAAGTTTTTCGATTTTCATCAATATGTGAGTTATTTATAAGCAAATGTTTTATTTTGAAAAAAATGAGACCAAGGTGTTTTAATTGAAATTATGCATATAGTTTCTTTGGCAGTATTCTGAGAGACAGGGGAAGGCGGTAACTTTATATACATCTAACTGATGTTGATGGGATACTTGAAGAAAAATAAGCAAGAAACTAAAAAATGGGAATTATTGTTCTTCATCCTGGTGGTGGATGGCGGCGGCAAGTTCATTTCTGCTCAAAGCAGCACGACGCTTCATTCTCCAATATTGAAGACGTGTCCAGAGCTCTCGAAGAGCAATGTAGATCATAGCAATGTTCTTAACGGCGAACAGGGATGGATCGAACTTCTTTCCGTGTTGCTGAACTTCGAGAATAATGTAGAGATAGATACGGAGTCCCAGGAATGGTCCATTGACAAGAAGAACGTAGAGGAAGGCCCAGAGTTTCTCGCTGACAAGAAGGAAGCGGGGCACTTTGGCGTAACGGAGTTTGGCAAGGGCGAAGGTGGGCATGAAGAAGTTGATGCAGGCGACAATGAGGATGGTCAGCTCCAACCAGAGTTCCAAGTTCCATTTGTCTTTCTGAAAAAATAGAACAAATATATATGCTTGCTATCGATAATTATTAACTTACCGATGCTTGCCAAAGAAGGTCCAAGAAATAAATGTTATCGATGAGATCCAGACAAATGGCAGCGACAAGGTATGAGATGTACACCTGACGAACGGAGACCAATGGAGTGTAATGGTGGGATTCAAAAATGAACAGGAAGATCAAAACGGAAAGAGACAGTCCGGCTTTGAAGAGGAAATCATCGAAAAGCTTGTCGTTGTTATCCAGAGGAGTCGGTGGAATGTCTTCGTAGAACAGGCGGAAACACGTGGCAACTTTGGCAATGAGAATGACAGCGTAGACTCCCCAAGCAAAGCAGGCGTACTTTACTCGGCTATCTGAAATCGATTTTTTAACTTTGAAACTTTTAAATTATGTCATCAACTGCTTACCAATAGAACAACACTCTTCCATTTGAACTGCATTGAATTTGATTGCCAAGACTCCTAGCACACCCAGGATCAGCACCACAACACAATCTGGTCCTATCCAAGCAGCCCATACATTCTCTCCTGTGACATTCAGATAGTACCAGTCTAATAAACCAAATTGAAGGATTACTAGGGCTAAACTGATTATCAGAGCGAATGAATCCAGGAAGGCACGCACACAGCGGCCTGGCAGAACTGCCATATTTAGATTTGCCGGGGATTGGTGTATTAGAGCTGCTGTCTGCTCTGGAGGCACTTTGATGGGAAACTCTTCTGCACCTTCGTAATATTCAAAGTGTGCTATCCGTTCTTCTCCGTTCTCTTCTATCGAGTCTTCAGTTATGTGACGTGGATCTCTTCCAGACTCAACGCGGGTGTTCTCTGTAACAGTTTCAGGATGAGGCGAAGATGACGAAGATGGAAACCACGGATTGTGGAGTGGATCTTCTGATGGTTTTGGGGATTCGATATGATGGTAGCGAATCGAAAAATCCCTGGGAACGGGATCAGGGAAGAGAAGCAATTGTGCCATGGGGTGGAAGAAGAAGAAGAGGAAGAAAAGGAGAAATGGGAGAAGTTTTCAACTGGCGCCCCCACACACAACAGAGGGTACTGTGTTTGTTTTGCCCGTGGGGGATAGTAGGATGCGACGATGGATGGGGGCATTTTTTGGAGACAAACTGTTTTTTTTTTCGTTTGGAACGGAAGGAAAAAAATTGATAAAAGAAAGATTCTTCCGAATAAGGGGGTGAGAAGAAAGGGAAGTGAGAGAGGTCTAGTCTAAGAGAATTAGGAAACGGCAAGGAATGGTAGAGGTCGGGTTGGATTGAATGATCGGAAACCTAGTTTTCCACAAAAAAGAAAATCCTTTTTTTTTCTAGACAAATCGTTTTAGATAAAAATCTAACAGAACTTGGAATAATTAGTACTAAGCTAATGATTCCTATTTTTCGTATCTATTCTCTACAAAGCACATGATTCCTAGAATCCAACTAAGACTTTGATTTGAAAACCTAGTAAACCCGCCAAACTGAATAAGCCTCAATACTAATCGGTGAGCACTTCCCTTTAAGTGGGTGGGGTGTTCCACTTGTCAAAAAGCGTTTTCATAAAAGATCCAACATCGGTTTGCTTTGCAAGATCTTTTTTCAAAGATGAAGTAACCTAACAAAAGGAACGAAGAACAAAAAATGGGTCAGCTGATGCTGCTCCTCCAACGTTTGGCTTGTATATTGAAAGAAAAGATACAGGCTGTTTGCCTCAGAGAGCCACTGCGCAAGTTGTCGACAAGTGCAAAGTGCATGAACATGAGAAGAAATGATGGGGAAAAAGAAGAAAAGGCTACTACTCGCTCTATTCAAAATACGGTCTCTATTCCTCTCTTCATTATGATTGTCTGTCGAGGCGCATACGTCTCTTTTACAGTCAGTATGGGTGGACACTGACGGCACGGATGCCGCCAAATAATTAGACTATAATTGATGTCAGAAGCATTGGTGGTGGTGGAAAGGTGCGCGAAAATGATGTGGAATGGTGACGACTACAGGACCACCTCATTTCCCTTAATGGACAGGTGTTCCAGGGGAAGGCTTATGCCTAATTCATGGCTGATCTAGAGCTCTCTTGTTGTGCTGGAGCAGGGAGAGAGAGAGAGAGAGAGAGAGCATAAGTTGCTTAATTATGTGCTATTGTGAATGGAAATAGAAACACTCTAGAAGAAGAGGAAGTAGGACAATATTATGGAAATGCGACTCGATAATTGCTCCGAGTGAGCTAAGAGCTACCTGGCAGAGTGCCAAGTTGTTCAGAGAGCCACCACCAGTGCTCGTAAAGCGCAGTTGTTCTTATATTCCCAGATCCATAAATTTCATGGCCGCAAGCAGACTCAACGCGAAATTGATGCGGTCATACTGCGGCTCCGAGGACCAAGACCACCCGTCTGTTCACATATTTGTATGTTTGCATTACTATATTACTATACACTGTCAACTGAATTGGTTTCTGGTCCGCTCCATAATCAGAATGATGAGCATGAAAAGAATGACGTTTGTTCAAACAAATGGTGGTCCAAATGTGTCAAAGAATTCTGGAGGAAAGAAGAAGAAGAAGACAATAGTCCTAGAAAAAAATGAAGCACTTGAAAATGCAAAAAAAGCGGACAAGTTGCTCCATTTCAGGGCTTCTGAACTCAAGAATCCAGAAATGAGGGAAAGAAGGTTTCAAATACAAATTATGAATGCTGATGGCAGTAATTAGAGAATATAGTGAAAACTCGGCGCGGAAAGAAGAACATGTAACTCAGTACGGTGTTGACTTTTCGGATTTCGCACAGATGCCGTCTGATTATATGCATCCCGTCCCGTCCGAAACAACAAACACAGAAGTCTAACGGTTAGGCCCTAACCATGAGAAAATGAGAGGAAAATGAAATGAAGCGAATTGTGGCTCACCTGGAATCTCCATGTGTGGAGGTAATCAGTGCATAGACGACGAGAAGGGAATAGGATCTAGGGATGCTCCGGAAGTTGTGTCTCTCTTCCTAATTTGGCACACTGCCAAAACCCAATACAACAACAAAATAGGGAAGAAGGAGGAGACGAAGAAGAAGAAGAAGCAAGATTAGGCAGTGTTAGAGGGAGACGGGTAGAATTGTGGTAGTCGGCTGGGGCTGCGGGAAGGGATGCGACAGACGGACGGACACGGAGAGGTCAGTAGCCACGCCCACAATTTTGGAGGAAACAGACTATGTTCTGAGTGTGGGAGAACGTGGAAAAGAAGGAGAATGTAGAGGGAAGAATAATGAAACGAAATGTTGCGCGAGAAAGAAGAAGATGCAAAAAGTCAGTGTACCCAGAGCTTTGATTTATGAGATGTTCTCTATAGAGATTTCAGAAGCTCAAAAATGAGTGGAGCACAAAGCACACCATTAAAACAAAATTGGTTCTAGAATATTCTCGAATTCTCGGGAAATTGAATTTCCACTTTGGACGAATTTCCTGACAGTCGTGCAGTCTTGCCAGTAAGAGGAAGACAAATTTGACGACTGGAACACCTAGAATTATACAGAGACTAGTCTTTCTTTTTTTCCGAAGAGAAACATTGAAAAAGTTTTATTTCCGCTGAGAAAAGTGCCACCACCAGACAACAACATAGACTGGTTTTTGCAGTACCTACTTCTAACTTTCCATAACTTTTTGGTCTCTTTCAATCTCTCTGGAAACGAAAACACACCGTAACCCGAAAATGTGACAGGTTGGAAACCGAAAAACAAAAATAGAAAAAGGTTCAATCATAAAAAGCAATCGGAAGAGAGAGAGAGAGAGAGATGGAGTTAATCCACGTTTTGGCTATGTATTTATGAGTAGATGCTGTTGTCGTTTTCCATAAACAATCAGCAGGTCGGGCTCTCTCCATATAACCCTCCTATATCCGTTTTCTGAGCCCCTCCCCTCACCAGGAGGGACCTTCCTCCTCCGTTAAATTATGGCCGTTCGTCGCATTATGCTTTCACTCGTGATATCCTTCGCGTCCCCTCCTGTGACTATTATACGGACCACCAGAAGAGGAATAGGCACATCTGCCCCTCTTTTGCTCTCTGTCATCCTCCCATTTGAATAGAGCAGCTTCTATTCACCTAGGAGGATACATGTAACAAAAGTGATGAAGGGAGGAACAAACAGTGCATGACGGTGGCGGACTGTATAAATGGAATCGAATTACCGTTGCGCGCGCCAGAGGTGCGACAGTCAAAAAGTCACATGTGGTCAAATTACAAAAAGCCATAGGCGCTGGCTGTGAAGAAACGAAATTTCAATTTGTAAAAAGGAGAGGAGCAAAAGTCTAATTAGAAGACCAACAGGGGTAATGAAATGAAGGCGCCACCATCATTGGAAGTAAAAACCGCAAGGGACCACCACCACCATCCCTATATACATATTTTATTCATTCCGACGGTGGGTCCGATTGCCGTGAAAAAGAATGAAGGACAATGGAATGCTGCCTGGAGGGGACGACATCATGTCAAGTTGAATGCGCGGAGCGGCAGAAGTAATCCGGAGACTCTTCTCTATTTTCGTTTTGAATTGAACAAAAGAGAGACGACAACTTCGCCTCTTCTCAGGACCCCTGAGCAAGGAGCCGTGTGTGCTTCAGAAGACAGAAGAGAAGGGGAACCTAATTTATCTGCAATGTTTTTTTCGTCGTCGAGAAAATTCGTTTTTCCATGTCATCTCTCTCGCGTATACCTAATAATTCTTTGGACAAGCCAGTTAGAAGACGAAGACGGAGAAGCTCATTTTTATCCTGTCTCTTTTTTCTGCCTCCAATTGTCGAAACAAAAACAACAACAACAACGACTTCAAGATGAAGCGAAGATGTATTTGTCGAGCTAAAAATGCTCATTTATTGCCTGTGTTGCCTCAGCCTGCTCTCTGGGGAATGAAAAGAAACACAGTAGCGGTCACTTGAAACGAAAAAAAAACGAAATGAAACGAGATGTTAAAAAGAAAGACTTGAAACATGTATAAAGAAGGGAATGGGTGAGACAAGTGTTCGGGGAAAGGACACATATGGTCCTTGTGGAATCTATATGCGCGCATGCACATATTAGAAATAAGAAGTGGATTCATAATGAATAGTAGAGCCTCTGGTAGATGTGTACCTCTCAACAACACACTTCTTATTGCAGGAGATCCACTCGATTGTGGACGATCTCTCATTGAGACTTGGAAATTTGGGAGATGGATGGTTGGAGAGCAGTCAGACGTCGCCGAAATACTTTGAATTTACGCCTATCGAGGTACATGCCATAACTGAACGTCTTCGACTACCAGAACCCACTGCGCCAGGTAGGAATATTATATACCGTAGATGGTCTAATAGATGCCCATCCTATGTGTGCACTTTGAGCTCAGTTATCTCGATTTTTGTGAAAAATATCAAAAATATGACAACTGGTAAAATACGGGTGATATTATGATAAACATTTTATCAGTTGACAGATTTTTGATAGCTCTCATAGGAACCGAGATAGCTGAGCTCAAAGTAAACGTAGGCTTCTATTAGAGACAATACGTTATTAAGAAAAGTAAAGAAAAAGTTATTTGACAACATACAAAACTTACTTATTGTTAGACAGTCCCAGAAACTTAAAATTCGGTAAAAAAAACTTACATGCAAAATTTTTCAAATATCAGTAGGAGGTCTTCACCAATATTTTCTGGGCCTGGAAGGTAGATAGCGGACCAAAAAGTTATCTAACGACAGAAAAAGTGAACGGGAACTAATTTGGCACAGCTGGGTTATGACATTTTGCAATCATAATTGTTCTAAAGAGTCTCATACATCGATCGTTTTTATTAACATTCCACTTAAGCTCATAACTTTTTCCTGATTTCCAGATGTGAATATGGTGGCCGATATTGGAAACACGATCGATTTCCTTCATCGTGTGCGTGCCCTCAAAATCCGCGGACAAAAGGGATACGTAGGAACATCGAACATCGTCTGGAACTCTCTTGACATGAGTCTCTACTTTTGTAAAAGCTTGAAAGCACTTTGGATTGCTGACAGTGATGTGTGTCGAATCAATGGAATAAAGAGTATCAGGGAGACACTTCGTCGACTGGTCGTTCATTATTCAATGAAGAAAATTAAAGACTTGTTGTTCGATGAGGAGGATCTGGAGGCGGCGTTGATGGTAGAAGAGATGGGAACATGGAAGTGTTTGGAAGAAGTTGATCTCTCGTTTAATGAAATAAAATGTTTTGATGAGAGCATGGTAAGACTTGCAAGAGTGATTTTGGAAGATGTACTTTTTTCTCTTTAGAAACTTCTTCCTGAGGTACGCATTCTGAATGTCAGCTACAACTCCATCACAGATATCGGAACCAACCTCGCTTTTCTCTCTTCGCTGACAGAATTGGATTTATCTAATAACACTATCACAAAAATCGATGCGTATGTTTTATTCGAAGTTATCGTTTTTTTTGTTCTATAGGATCCCAAACTATAAGTTCACTTTGAGCTCAATTATTTTGGTTTCTGTAAGAGATATCGAAAATCTTTCAACTGATAAAACTCTGGGTATAATATTATTGACATTTTATCAGTTGACAGTTTTATGATAGCTCTCCTAGGTACCGTGATAACTGAGTTCAAAATAAAAGTAACTATCAATGTGGATTTTCAGATGGAACGAGAAACTTGGAAACGTCAAGAAACTGATTCTGAGTGAGAATGCGATTGAAGATCTCACGGGTCTTGGAAAACTGTATTCGTTGGAATATTTAGATGTGAAAGGAAACAATATTCAAACATTGGAAGCTGTTCAGGGAATCGGAAAACTTCCATGTCTGGAGATCCTCTTGCTTCGAGACAATCCAATTCGAAAACTCGTTGAATATCGTACGAAAGTTCTCGAACTGTTTGGTGAACGCAGTAGTGAGGTAGATTACCTTCTTTCCACTTTCCTAGTCTATTTCTCTTTTTTTTCAGCTAAAACTAGACGGACGACGTCCAGAACACCGTGAGCTGGATACCGTTCGTGTTCGGATGGCTCTTCGGAAAGCGAAAGAAGAGAAAGAGGAGCGAGAGAGACGACGAAAAGAACGAATCGAAGAGAGAATTCGATACATTTCCGGAGAAGATGTTAGTCCGAATGTGTCCGGATCGTTCTAAAATTATACTGCATTTGATTTTATCCTCGTCAATTATGTTCAAAATTTGTATTTAGTTATTTTTTTCTTTTTTGATTTTGCATGTACCATATTCATGCTTTTTTGCTGAATTGAGATTCATGATCTGGCTGAAGAAAGGTCCCATATGTCTAGGATAATGCAAACTTCCCAAACCTGAAAGTTCTAGCCCAAAAATCAGTCCAAAGTGATGCCCAGATCTCCAATTTTTTCTAATTTGGGAATTCCGGATGCCGCGACAGAGTTCGGTTTTTGAACTAGAATCAAGTCTGGTACGAACGTTATGTTCAGAAATAGATATTGAACCTTAATTTCAGCCAAGAAAAACCATCAAATCTTTTACGCATAATACTAATATACCTAGTCCTCGTGTTGTCAAATAATCTAGTCTTTCTCCCCGTATTTCTTCGCATCCCGAGCTTCTTCTTTGTGATCGTTCATATCGATCAGCAATCCTATTACACTTATTGCATTATTTAAATCTCCCCCCTTTTCGGTGCTTCTCCCCTTTTTTCATAACCTATTTCTATCCTTTTTAATATTTTTTAGGGTTTAATGGTTGTGGAAAAAATGTATGTGATAGAAAATGAAATGATGAGATGAATATAATAAATGTGTGAGATTGGCGTCTTCGCTCGTCACTATCAGCTACAAAACTGGAATCTCCTGATCGTATAGGAAAAATCTCAAAATCGAAAACAAATTACTCAGAATTTTATTCAACACACAAACTGGGGAAAGAGAAAAACAGTGGGGAAGAATAACATCTCAATATTGAAAATATCCGATATTGTAGAGATTATCCAACAACGAGTTACGTTTGAGCATCGGCGAGTTTCCGTTGGCCGCGTATCGGCGACTGTTGCTCAGAAGACCGTTGAGCTCCTCGTTCGAGCCAGCATCACGTCCTGGGAATAATTAGAAATTGAAAGAAGAAGATGAGAAAGTGCTAGAAGAAACTTACGATGAATCGCTGAGCATCGATGATGGTGACGAGAAGAAGAACGGTGAAGAAGAAGAGAAGAGTCTTATGGGAGACGGACATTCTTGAACCACCTGAAACATGGTTTTTTGTGTTTTGGATGAAGGAAGAACAGGAAGAAATATATACAAGAAACGAAGAAAATAACAAGGAGAAGAAGGTAATCCATCTGGATCATTAGTTTTTGCTCTCATAGAAGCTTCTTGAAAGCTCCAGAAGACGTCACTCTCCTTCTATTTATCCTCTCACCCCCAAAAAGATCTAGAGAAGATAACATTGAGAAAATCCAGAACAATCCGATGATTAAAATATACTAGTGTACACGACACGAAGAGAGCAAAAAGTTTGAATGCAAAAAAAAAAAAGTTTGGACTCCGTTTGGATTCAGAGGAGAGATGGGGGCGGAGATTTCGCGGGCCTTATGTAGTGGTAAAAGGGGCGGGGCTTAACTCGACGACTCTCTTGAGAAAATTCGAGTTAATCGACAAGGAAAACATTGAAATGAAGAAGAAAAACTAGACAATACCATAAACACTCTAATAGAGTGACCAACCTAGCTTTCAATTTTGAGCCAATTTATCTCGGTTCCTGTGAATGACATGAAAAAGTGATCAACTGACAAAATACTTCTGATAATATGACAAGCATTTTAAGAGTTGGTTATTTTTTGGGATCTTTTTCAGGAAATGATATAAATTGGCTCAAAGTTGACGGTTTGGAGGTTCTATTAGAATGTTTGCGGTAGTTTCAGAGAAGTTTTTTCTGATTTCTGAAAGAAAATGCACATAAAAGAAGAGGTGGAAAATGGAAATGACCGCATGGTACTCGTCATTTGGCAGTAATTTGAGAGTTTTGAAGCAATTTGAAAATTCTGACAATTTAAATTTTTCAGATGTCGCATAAATGGAGGAACTAGATAATAATAAGAGAAATTGAGCCAAAAATGGCAACGAGAAGAGTAATTGAATAATTATTTTGTAGATGGAAATTTCAGGATAAGTAGAAATAGAGACTGGTGAGAATTTCAGAATGGCCCCTACCACTCCATTATCGTTTTTCGTATAAGAAGCCTACCCCCAGCCGTTAAATTTGAGCTCAATTATCTCCGTTCCATTACAAGATATAAACAACTTGTCAATTGATAAATTATTGATCATGATATCAACAATGTTTTATCAGCTGTTTTTTAATATCTTTGACAGGAACCGAGATATTTGAGCTCAAAGTTGAGTGTTTGGATGGGCTTCTTATTAGAGCATATTCTGTATTCATAAAACCCCGTTATATTTTGGGTACAAACCTACTGTGTCTCAGTTGTTGCTCCATTTTTTTTCTCGGAAAGAAGAGTCTATTTTTTAGTTTCCTCCGTTCCCAGACACCAGTAGTAATCAGAACAAAAAATGTATTCAGATTCAGCAGAAAACGATATATAGTTCCGTCTTCAGGGAACAATTGTTTTCAAACATCACTCTAGGTTTTCTAAGGAAGATAAATTTCTCAAGTGCATATAATTGAATAGAGATTAGAAGATGAGGATTTCAACAAAATGACTTGAAAAGATCACCCACACAAAAGATATGGTGACTTAATGGATAGGGTATTCATCAGACAAAAGGAATAGGATTATGACCTAAGCTTCTCTGTTTTGTGCACTTGTTCCACAGGGTACATCTTGAACTTGTGAAGGCCCAACTTCCGGAGGCACGTCATCAAATTTTTCCACGGAAAAAAAATAATAATTCAACTGTTCTCCGTTCAAAACAGATAAAAAAGATAACCCATCATAATCGTGGAATTACAGTAATCATCTATTCTTGCAGAAAGTAGAATTTGAAGAAAATTTTGACAAAAACAAAATTGAATCATCCAAATTCAAAAGTTGTCCCATTTGAATAATCCTAGAAAAAAAAATAATAAAATGATGTGTGAATTCCCAAATTTTAGAACCTGCTAGTTTTTGTAATCTGAAGATGTTTCCATTGTCTCAGGCGCGTTCAAGGGATAAACAATTCTCTAAAAAAGGACTTCTTTGAAACGTATGGATGATGTCCGTATGATGGATCCGTACATGTCCATGAATTCCAAATAATGATGTCAAAAGAATATCGGAAGGACTTCTGGTACGATATGTCTAGACTTTTAGCGACGAAAGAATGGGTAAACGGAACTATTTTTAAATCTATGAGCTCTAGAAAAAGGAAATCCAAAGTCTGAATTCAACTACAGTAACCTTATTCTAGTCTTCTGTGAATCGAACGTTTTCGAAAAAAAAAGACGCTATAAAAGGTTCACCGTAGACTACCTTTACCGTATCGAAAACTATGTATTGTCCATGCCCAGAAAAAAGACCCGTCAATCGAAAGTGCTGGCAAAAAAGGACTGAAGTTCAAAAAATTTTTCTAGTTTGATGAATCACTTTTTTTTCTAGTAATACCTCTTCGTGTTTTTTCTGGAATCTTCTTTTTCAATTTCTGTGAGTGCCATTTTGGTCAAAAAGAGCACATGGGATTCGTACAAATCATAAAACATCCATAAAATTTCTTCTAATCCAATCCGATTAATCGAATTACTAGGTCAACCTTTCAACAACAAAATGTTATGTTTTAGATTTTTATGAAACAAGTAGAGAGCAATAAAAGACACGAAAAATGATACAAAGATGTAAATATGTGCAATTTGTTTTAAATTGAGCCAATTTAGAAATCCGTGTACACTGAAGAAGGTATCTGCACGTATTCTGGTTCCTCTCCTCTCTTCTTATGTTCGACGACGTCATTAATAATAACTGGGAGTCCTCGAATCTCGATTGCTTCACTCATCAAATCCGAGAGTTTCTCCGAATTTTCCATATGGATCGACCAGAGTTCCAAAGGAGATTTGCAGACGAATGAGATTTTTTGATCTTTGAAAATAAGGAGATCCATGTCGAAAAGAGATTTGTGAGCTAGCATCCGTCCAGAGTTTTGGGAAATGAAAAGAAGACAAGTGTGATGGAAGAAGACGTGGATTGGGTGGGAAGGGAAGGTTCGGAGAGGGGAGGCATCGATTTCTCCCGAAAAATGATGAGCTGAAAATAAATAAACATTTGGGAATTGAGCACAAGCAGGTGAAGTGCTAAGGATGTACAGGGTGGCGCATAATTCCCTGTACTCAAGTTTCTACTAGCATAAAATTTTGAATCGGGCTTTGTACTGGGCTCAAATTTGGATTGCAAAAATTAAATTCGTTAGTAAATTAGCCAATTTTCAAACTGCCGTAAACACTCTAATAGAACTCCACCCGAATCGTAATATTTCATCCTATGTCTCTAATATTCTGTGAGAGATCTCAAAAAGTGGATAACTAATAAAATGTTGCTGACATCATGATAAACATTTTATTAAGGGACAACTTTTTTATATCTTTCAAAATAAGTGAGATATATAGGCTCAAAGTGGATGGTCCGGATGGTGTTCTATTAAAGTGTTTACGGTATCTGATAAACTTTGAGCTGATTTATCGCTTGACAGTAATGCTTCATCATGAAAATCACAACAGCGTGCGTACATCTTTGGGCAATCATAACAATACCTTGAGGAATGGCTTTGAAAATTTTCGTAGCTTTGATTCACTATATTTCTACCTTTTTGATTTTCTTGCCTCCAAGATACCTATGTCTAAAGATCCGTTTTTATCAGTCCTAGTAATAATCCGCCACTCTGTAGTACATTAGCTAACTCGGGAACTAACCTTTTGTCTCCAAATTTGCTCTAATAAACTCAACGAATCGCCATTTGTCCGACAAATTCCTCATCTTTAACCGAAGAACATTCTCGACAAGTACAAGGGTGCACTTCAAGTTTTTCGTTGTTTCATCTGAAATATTAATGGGATTTCATGGGAATCTTGGAATACGATGATGTCTTACCAAACAACTGACAAATGAAGCTGTCGGACAAAGGGAAGTAGTCGTAAGAAGTGTAATCTGCATATTTGATGATGTAGAGCGACCATTCTTGTTTTCCAGATTCATTGAATCGCCGACGCAGTTCCATGGAACGTGTCTCGTACTGAAGTGTGGGAACATGAAGAGTTGAAGAGGAACAAAATAGAAAACTCACCTTGTTTCCAATTCTGAGCTTCACATCAAATTTGATTCGCTTACTGTCCATAAAAAGGCTCTGAAAATAATCGAAAATTATTCATAAAATGCTGTAAAAATGAAATTACATCTAGAGAACCAGTTCTCTTTTGCTTGAAACTTCCATAAACATGGCGAATCGATTGGAACAACTTCATAGTTCGGAATACCGGAAGACGTTAGCAGAACAAGAATAATATGACAATGAATGACTTATTGTTTCCGTTTATACCCGCTGCACATCATCTAACTTCCGTTTACAACCGTGACGTCTTCTAATGGCGGGACCCTTTTGATGGTCGGTATCTTCTCATAAGGGAAGGGTATCTCATGCTCCCGGGAAAGTATATTTCTTTTTGAAATTCCGCTATGTATACTTGCAAGAATTGTCAATAAGTTCTGAAGAATTTCGGTTGTTGTTGTTTTCTTCGCATACGAGAATATTAGTAGTATTTCTGTGGGAATGTGCATTAGTTTTTTGGAATTGTGAAAAAACTGAACTGTTATGGTTGGTCGTATAATAAAGATTTTTATGAGTGGAAAGGGAAATGATAAAATAATAATATGAGGTTTATGGATATTAAAGTGGATGGATCCTTGAGGTATTAAATTGATTGAGGTGAATTAGGTATAACTTATTGGGAAATGAGAAAAATAGAAATTTGTGCTTTGAAAATTTGGTGTTGCGATTATTAAATGGAAAAAATAGTCAATAAGAGAGCACAGTATTTTTGAAAGAATTACAGTGTGGCGCTAAATTACCCGGACTGATACAAACGGATACATCGTTAGACAAAAGTATCTTGGAATCACAAAAATTGGATTTGAATACAATTTTAAGTTTGATTTGAAGCTACAGTAATTTTAAAAGCGATTCCTCAAGTATAGATATTTTTATAATTTTCCAAAGTTGAACGCGATTATAATGAGATGAAGCAACTTACAATTAGGCAAGCGAAAACTCAGCTCAGAGATATTGTCGAATTAAAAAAAAAGTGGGACCTGGAAAATTTCGCGGGCGGCTTCCTGGTCAATTTTCGAGGCCTTGCCACAAAAATACTACGGTAGTAAACGAAACTTATTTCTGTGAATTTAGTGGGATTTTCTGGACAAAATTTAGATTTATTGGTATGAAAATGATCATTAGCATCTCTATAATCTATTTTTCATCGAAACACCGAACTTGATTGCGAAAGTAGGTCGAACGAGGCGAAACTCTGAAATATTACGTTTTTGCCACGCTTTTTCGTAGATCAAAAAAAGCTACGCCTTTCAAATTCTCAGGTCCCACTTTTTTTTAATTCGACAATAATCAAATCATTTGGAACTTGGCTAATTTACTGATGAATAGTTTCCGTAGCAAAAAGTATTCACACTGCTCAATCTGTTCCATTTGGAGCTCCATTTTTGACGGCGAAGTTGAGAGCCATAACATTGAACATGACTTGTTCCAGAGGAGTATCGGTGGTATTGAATTTTACGAGTCCCTTGAGCGAGAGATTTGGAGCGATCCTGACTGGAATATTAATTTTGGACAGTCACTGATATGATTCCAGCACATTGAATACTTACCAATTAGTTCCAGAGCAGCCAATTGCTCATTGAGTTTAACTCGGTTTTCCGCATCAGATATTCCTTGTCTACTTGCTGGAGTCTTTGATCGAGAAACGGAAATCGTTGGAGATGGACTTCGTTCCGTATTTCTTTTGAAATTTCTATTGCCGTCTCTATAAAAAGTAAATTTTTCAGAAAATTACATTCCCAAACTAACAAGAACCGGTCTACCCAACGAGTAATTGTCTTCCGGTTCGGACATCTTTCATCTTTTGTTTTTCTCATATTCAAAAGTTTTCGATGGATTTCAGCTTTGTTGTTTGTCTTCGAATTTCGAATGATATTCAGGTAGTACCAGATTTCTTCGCTTGTATATGGTGCCATAGGAAATTTAGGAAAGACGAGTCAAAGAAAGAGGAAGAATGAAAAAGAAGAAGAAGAGTGCGAAGGTAAAGAAGTGCGAAAATTATCAAGGTATCCATTGGCAACTCTTTTCAGGTCATATGACAGGAGAGAAAATAAGTCGCGTCTTGAAAATGAGACGGATAATTGTAGGTTCAAACGGTTAGTGGGAGAAATGGAGCATTAGGAAAATGAGTCATATTTAGGAGGATGAATCAAAGTATCAAGGACAAAATCGCTATTGTAGTCAGCGATGTTTCAATATATTTTTCAAGAACCGAAAAAATTACAGTCATAGAGACGGTAGCACACTTGAAAGACGGATCCTGCCATAGTTTCTTTTACGATTGTTCCTTCATGACAAAGTTCAATATCATAGAACTTGACGAGTAATACAAAATGACATTAATTAGAAAAATATGTCTTGACAACGAAAATTTATAAGCCATAAGCCTTACCATCCGTGCCCGGCGGGTCCTGCCTGTTTTTTTCCCATTTCGTCTGTATCTTTGTAAATACAGCGCTGTAAACTAGTTTTCCAATTAATGTCATTTTGTAGTACTCGTCAGGTTCTATCACATTCTGAAAGAAATTATGACGAAATTATTCTTATTGCTTGTTAAAAACTTTGCATGCTCAAAACTTTATTAAGAAAACCACAATCACTTATTTCTTTGGTTTGGATGATCCAATGACAATAGCAGCTTCTCCGGATCCAGATCCATATCCTCGTCCTCCACTGTATGATCCACCTCCTCCACCTCCTCCGTGACGATGACAACGATGAGCAGAAGCGAGAGACAAGAGAGCAAAGACGACGAGAAGGAATAGAGAATTGAAGTTCATTTCAAAGGGAACCGATGATTTCGAATTGTAACCCGTTTCACTTTTATACAGAATTTCCGTTCTTTCAATAGCTCTTTTTTAGCGTACACTTTTATGAAAGGGTTTCGGAGAAAACGGAAGTGTTTATTGTTATGGGTTTTGTTCAAAGTGAAAAAGTTGGAATACTGGGCAAAACTTGGAAAAAAATGAACCCGATGTAGCATGAGATGCAGGAGTCATCCCAAAACTACCAAAATCAACCAGAAACAACGAAACACCGGTATAAAAAAGACAGAGAAACAACCTATACGCGCACTTTGAGCTTAGCTATCTCGTTTCCTTCAAAAGGTATCAAAAATGTTTAACTGATAAACTACTTATCATAATATTCCCAATACTTCATCAGTTGACAGATTTTTGATATCTCTCATAGGAACCGAGATAATTGAGCTCAAAGTGGACGTATGAGGTGTACATTAAAAAGCTAATGTATAAACTAATTGAAGCTCTATAAATTGATTGAGTAGATAGAAGGAAAACTTTATTGAGAAAAAAAACTAAATGTTTATTGTGAAAGAGTTTCAGATTCGAGAGTTTTTGCAGGTGGAAGTCTAACAAAAAGTCTTGAATTCCATCCAGTTGGCACATCGGTTTCCTTGACTTTATCCTCCATTTTCAAACGAGATGCATTCTCACTCGTCCTATTTCCGTGTTTATCTCCGACATATGCTGATTTCAATGGCCCATCACAACATTTCTTGAATATTGCAACACCTTCTGCTGCATAAGTTGCCGCATCTAACGGTAGTTTATTTATTCTTCCAACATCCTTCACTGCTTTCGTTATCTGATTTCTTAACAGATTTTTCAATGGATCCGTTGATGGAACTTCTACAGTAACCAGACAGTAGTTGCGGATTTCTAGAGACTTTCGAACTCTGTCATTGAACTGAAAAATATTTTGATTGCTTGATAATCTTCTCGACACCTACAGAAGTACACGTGGATGTCTTCTCTCCGTCCACATCTAAAATCGCCTCTCCTAAACTGAAAGTGATATCGGCCAACGAGTTTTCCACAAAATCACACACAATCAATTTTCCATCGAGTTCTTTGATATCGAGACCCAAATGAAAGTATCCTTTGAGATTGTACAGAACCAGCGTGTCATTTGTGTATCCTTCGTGCTTATAAAGTGGAGGAAACGTTGAAGGGCGAGGGATTCGACGTTTCAGACGCATCACTTTTACAGACATCTGGAATTGAGATGATAATGCGTCAAAAGGTGCTAGCTACAAACCTTTGTTGTTAATTGGCCATTGAATATAGTTTGAATTAATCTGAAAATTTGAAAAACACCGATTAATAAAAATTAAGAATTTCCCACTTTCCCATCTTATCCTGACCAGTAATGGGAGTTCCATTGAGACTGAGTAAAACGTCACCCACTTTGATTTGACCCTAGAATGCAATACTTCTTCAGGTTTTCTCTGAATAACTCCCTCACTTGACATGGACTATTGTAAGTTATACTGACTACCATCAGATGTTTTAACTCCAATCCAAGCTGGAATTCTATTCAGTTTCTCAACCTTTTCTTTCTTTTTCACCCACTCCGTCCTCTTTTTTAACGTTTGCAGTGAACTCAAACTGCTCAACGAAATCAAGTGGTGGCACCTTTTTTCCATTGAAAATTGCATCGAGACGGGATTTAACCAATGCATCCATTCGTGAAGAAAATCACTGTTCAGGTGGATAGAAATCGATAAGAAATGATACGTTTTTGTGCTTTTGGGAAAATGCAACATTTTAGTTTTTTTTTCTAGCTCAAAAATGTTTCTTTTCATCCCCCAGGAACGTGGTGACAACTGGTCTATTGGGTGAGACACTAAATGAGATGAAGAGACGCAGACATGACTCTTCGGACGAACAAACTCATTCATTTTGTGCTCGCCAAACTTTACGACACTTGCCCCCTTCTCCTCCTCTTTTTTATGCCTCGTTTGATTTCGATCACCGGCAATTGAAAAAAGATTTGAGATGAGAGCAGATTCTGTTTTTGTTTCCGTTTCTCAAAGTTTTCTTTCTGGAAAAAAGTATAACCCATTCGTTTTGGATTTTCTTATGTACTTTTTATTAGTACTGGGAAACAATACGTTTCCAGAGTTTTGAACTTCAGGAACATCAGCTATTCTGTTTCAGTTATTAGCTATCTTTTGAAGACCCAAACTATTACTGAACAAGAATCCAATACAAACGATATTATAAATCAAGCCACAGTGTTTCTCACGACTTCTCCTACAACTGAGCGACAAATACTATTGCTCAGGAAGCAATCCGAAATCTGTTTTCAATTGCCCCTCTCTCTCATTTTTTATTGCAATTCTTTTATCTCTTTCATTTATATATCTGAAAACAACACCCGAGAAAAAAATCTTCATTTCAAATTTCCATCTCATGATGTACAAACATTTGAGTTCATTCGAAACTATTTTTTATCAAAGAAATCGAAATAGAAAGTTCCCTTTCCTTGATGACGTCTTGGGCGGGATGGGGGATCATCATAAGGTCCCGGTTCACCTGGGGAGTCTGGCAGATCGAATATTTGTGGATCATCTGTAGAATCGGCATAGTCGTCTGTTCCTACTGGTGCTTGCGAAGAAAAGTTAGATGGCGTTGGTTCTTCAGATCCTCCTACTGGTGCTTGTGAAGAAGAATCGGATGGATTTGGTTCTTCAGATCCTCCGACTGGTGCTTGTGAAGATGCATCGGATGGATTTGGTTCTTCAGATTCTCCGACTGGTGCTTGGGAAGAAGCATCGGATGGATTTGGTTCTTCAGATCCTCCGACTGCTGCTTGGGAAGAAGCATCAGATGGCTTTGGTTCTTCAGATCCTCCGACAGGTGCTTGGGAAGAAGCATCAGATGGATTTGGTTCTTCAGATCCTCCGACAGGTGCTTGGGAAGAAGCATCAGATGGCTTTGGTTCTTCAGATCCTCCGACTGGTGCTTGGGAAGAAGCATCGGATGGCTTTGGTTCTTCAGATCCTCCGACTGGTGCTTGGGAAGAAGCATCGGATGGATTTGGTTCTTCAGATCCTCCGACAGGTGCTTGGGAAGAAGCATCAGATGGCTTTGGTTCTTCAGATCCTCCGACTGGTGCTTGGGAAGAAGCATCGGATGGATTTGGTTCTTCAGATCCTCCGACAGGTGCTTGGGAAGAAGCATCGGATGGATTTGGTTCTTCAGATCCTCCGACAGGTGCTTGGGAAGAAGCATCAGATGGCTTTGGTTCTTCAGATCCTCCGACTGGTGCTTGGGAAGAAGCATCGGATGGATTTGATTCTTCAGATCCTCCTACTGGTGTCTGGGAAGAAGCATCGGATGGATTTGGTTCTTCAGATCCTCCGACAGGTGCTTGGGAAGAAGCATCAGATGGCTTTGGTTCTTCAGATCCTCCGACTGGTGCTTGGGAAGAAGCATCGGATGGATTTGGTTCTTCAGATCCTCCGACTGGTGCTTGGGAAGAAGCATCGGATGGATTTGGTTCTTCAGATCCTCCGACTGGTGCTTGGGAAGAAGCATCGGATGGATTTGGTTCTTCAGATTCTCCGACTGGTGCTTGGGAAGAAGCATCAGATGGATTTGGTTCTTCAGATCCTCCGACTGGTGCTTGGGAAGAAGCATCGGATGGATTTGGTTCTTCAGATCCTCCGACAGGTGCTTGGGAAGAAGCATCAGATGGCTTTGGTTCTTCAGATCCTCCGACTGGTGCTTGGGAAGAAGCATCGGATGGCTTTGGTTCTTCAGATCCTCCGACTGGTGCTTGGGAAGAAGCATCGGATGGATTTGGTTCTTCAGATCCTCCGACAGGTGCTTGGGAAGAAGCATCAGATGGCTTTGGTTCTTCAGATCCTCCGACTGGTGCTTGGGAAGAAGCATCGGATGGATTTGGTTCTTCAGATCCTCCGACTGGTGCTTGGGAAGAAGCATCGGATGGATTTGGTTCTTCAGATCCTCCGACTGGTGCTTGGGAAGAAGCATCGGATGGATTTGGTTCTTCAGATTCTCCGACTGGTGCTTGTGAAGATGCATCGGATGGATTTGGTTCTTCAGATCCTCCGACTGGTGCTTGTGAAGATGCATCGGATGGCTTTGGTTCTTCAGATCCACCGACTGGTGCTTGTGAAGATGCATCGGATGGCTTTAGTTCTTCAGATCCTCCGACTGGTGCTTGGGAAGAAGAATCGGATGGCTTTGGTTTTTCAGATCCTCCGACTGGTGTCTGGGAAGAAGCATCGGATGGCTTTGGTTCTTCAGATCCTCCGACTGGTGCTTGGGAAGAAGCATCGGATGGATTTGGTTCTTCAGATCCTCCGACAGGTGCTTGGGAAGAAGCATCAGATGGCTTTGGTTCTTCAGATCCTCCGACTGGTGCTTGGGAAGAAGCATCGGATGGATTTGGTTCTTCAGATCCTCCGACTGCTGCTTGGGAAGAAGCATCGGATGGCTTTGATTCTTCAGATCCTCCTACTGGTGTCTGGGAAGAAGCATCGGATGGCTTTGGTTCTTCAGATCCTCCTACTGGTGCTTGTGAAGATGCATCGGATGGCTTTGGTTCTTCAGATCCTCCGACTGGTGCTTGTGAAGATGCATCGGATGGCTTTGGTTCTTCAGATCCACCGACTGGTGCTTGTGAAGATGCATCGGATGGCTTTAGTTCTTCAGATCCTCCGACTGGTGCTTGTGAAGAAGAATCGGATGGATTTGGTTCTTCAGATTCTTCGACAGGTGCTTGGGAAGAAGCATCAGATGGCTTTGGTTCTTCAGATCCTCCGACTGGTGCTTGGGAAGAAGCATCGGATGGATTTGGTTCTTCAGATCCTCCGACTGCTGCTTGGGAAGAAGCATCGGATGGCTTTGATTCTTCAGATCCTCCTACTGGTGCCTGGGAAGAAGCATCGGATGGCTTTGGTTCTTCAGATCCTCCTACTGGTGCTTGGGAAGAAGCATCGGATGGCTTTGGTTCTTCAGATCCTCCGACTGGTGCTTGGGAAGAAGCATCGGATGGATTTGGTTCTTCAGATCCTCCGACTGGTGCTTGGGAAGAAGCATCGGATGGATTTGGTTCTTCAGATCCTCCGACTGGTGCTTGGGAAGAAGCATCAGATGGATTTGGTTCTTCAGATCCTCCGACTGGTGCTTGGGAAGAAGCATCAGATGGCTTTGGTTCTTCAGATCCTCCGACTGGTGCTTGGGAAGAAGCATCGGATGGATTTGGTTCTTCAGATCCTCCGACTGCTGCTTGGGAAGAAGCATCAGATGGCTTTGGTTCTTCAGATCCTCCGACTGGTGCTTGGGAAGAAGCATCGGATGGATTTGGTTCTTCAGATCCTCCGACTGCTGCTTGGGAAGAAGCATCAGATGGCTTTGGTTCTTCAGATCCTCCGACAGGTGCTTGGGAAGAAGCATCAGATGGCTTTGGTTCTTCAGATCCTCCGACTGGTGCTTGGGAAGAAGCATCGGATGGATTTGGTTCTTCAGATCCTCCGACTGCTGCTTGGGAAGAAGCATCAGATGGCTTTGGTTCTTCAGATCCTCCGACAGGTGCTTGGGAAGAAGCATCAGATGGCTTTGGTTCTTCAGATCCTCCGACTGGTGCTTGGGAAGAAGCATCGGATGGATTTGGTTCTTCAGATCCTCCGACTGGTGCTTGGGAAGAAGCATCGGATGGCTTTGATTCTTCAGATCCTCCTACTGGTGTCTGGGAAGAAGCATCGGATGGATTTGGTTCTTCAGATCCTCCGACAGGTGCTTGGGAAGAAGCATCGGATGGATTTGGTTCTTCAGATCCTCCGACTGGTGCTTGGGAAGAAGCATCGGATGGATTTGGTTCTTCAGATTCTCCGACTGGTGCTTGGGAAGAAGCATCAGATGGCTTTGGTTCTTCAGATCCTCCGACTGGTGCTTGGGAAGAAGCATCGGATGGATTTGGTTCTTCAGATCCTCCGACAGGTGCTTGGGAAGAAGCATCGGATGGATTTGGTTCTTCAGATCCTCCGACAGGTGCTTGGGAAGAAGCATCAGATGGCTTTGGTTCTTCAGATCCTCCGACTGGTGCTTGGGAAGAAGCATCGGATGGATTTGATTCTTCAGATCCTCCTACTGGTGTCTGGGAAGAAGCATCGGATGGATTTGGTTCTTCAGATCCTCCGACAGGTGCTTGGGAAGAAGCATCAGATGGCTTTGGTTCTTCAGATCCTCCGACTGGTGCTTGGGAAGAAGCATCGGATGGATTTGGTTCTTCAGATCCTCCGACTGGTGCTTGGGAAGAAGCATCGGATGGATTGGTTCTTCAGATCCTCCGACTGGTGCTGGGAAGAAGCATCGGA